AAGAGACCCCAAGGAGACACTCACCTAGCAAGAGACCCCAGGAGACACTCACCTAGCAAGAGACCCCAGGAGACACTCACCTAGCAAGAGACCCCAGGAGACACTCACCTAGCAAGAGACCCCAGGAGACCAAGAGACCACAGGAGACACTCACCTAGCAAGAGACCCCAGGACACACTCACCTAGCAAGAGACCCCAGGAGACACTCACCTAGCAAGAGACCCCAAGGAGACACTCACCTAGCAAGAGACCCCAGGAGACACTCACCTAGCAAGAGACCCCAGGAGACACTCACCTAGCAAGAGACCCCCAGGAGACACTCACCTAGCAAGAGACCCCAGGAGACACTCACCTAGCAAGAGACCCCAGGAGACACTCACCTAGCAAGAGACCCCCAGGAGACACTCACCTAGCAAGAGACCCCAGGAGACACTCACCTAGCAAAGAGCGCGGTACACAATCTGTGTTGAGTGAAGTAACTCTTGTTCTCTGCTACAAAAACTGGCATGGAAATCCTGTTCTCCGGTTTTATAGATTGGGTGAAATCTGTATTCATTTGTCGAGAGTCGGAACTCATTTTTCTATGGCTTCAGGATTGAATTCTGTAAGTGTGGTGTTGGATCCTTCTGTGGGATGGAGTTTCATCGGTCTGTGACCATCCAGCTGTTGTCCTGAGGGGAGAATTTGTAAATATTTTTGTACTATTTCTGCTTCGCTGTTTGCAGGCATTCCACAAAAATGCCGTTGAAGAATTTCAACCCCATGGACTGGTTGGTAGAGTGACGGGCTCGCTTATTTGCTGGGTCGGGGCTCGATCCTCGATTGTCACAGTGGTTAGGCAATATCATTTCATACTGTATAGGTCCCTATTCACATATCCCAGGTCTTTGTTCTTGTATCCCAGGTTCTTGTCGTCATAATCATGCTTATCCTTGCTTTTATATCCCAGCTCCCAACTCCTTGTCCTCATATCCCAGCTCCTTGGCCTCATATCCCAGCTCCTTGGCCTCATATCCCAGCTCCTTGGCCTCATATCCCAGTTCCTTGGCCTCATATCCCAGCTCCTTGGCCTCATATCCCAGTTCCTTGGCCTCATATCCCAGCTCCTTGGCCTCATATCCTAGCTCCTTGGCCTCATATCCGTACTCTTGACGTCATATCCCAGCTCCTTGGCCTCATATCCCTACTTCTTGGCCTCATATCCCAGCCACGTTTCCTCATATCCTTTGCAAGTGCTACATAGTCATATTGGGTTGGTATTTGCTCCTTATAATTGCCTCAACTTGCCTACCACTGTAACAGTGAGTGAATGTATGAGGTGCTGGTGATCTAGCTCAAACAGCCTCCAGTGTAATAATGTGTAGTGAGGTGTTGCAATGGGTTAGAGACATGGTGATGGGTACAACCTTGCATAGTGATGGGTACAGTCTTACATGGTGATGGGTACAGTCTTACATGGTGATGGGTACAGTCTTACATGGTGATGGGTACAGTCTTACATGGTGATGGGTATAACCTTGCATAGTGATGGGTACAGTCTTACATGGTGATGGGTACAGTCTTACATGGTGATGGGTACAGTCTTACATGGTGATGGGTACAGTCTTACATGGTGATGGGTACAACCTTGCATAGTGATGGGTACAGTCTTACATGGTGATGGGTACAGTCTTACATGGTGATGGGTACAGTCTTACATGGTGATGGGTACAGTCTTACATGGTGATGGGTACAGTCTTACATGGTGATGGGTATAACCTTGCATAGTGATGGGTACAGTCTTACATGGTGATGGGTACAGTCTTACATAGTGATGGGTACAGTCTTACATGGTGATGGGTACAACCTTACATGGTGATGGGTACAGTCTTACATGGTGATGGGTACAGTCTTACATGGTGATGGGTACAGTCTTACATGGTGATGGGTATAACCTTGCATAGTGATGGGTACAGTCTTACATGGTGATGGGTATAACCTTGCATAGTGATGGGTACAGTCTTACATGGTGATGGGTACAGTCTTACATAGTGATGGGTACAGTCTTACATGGTGATGGGTACAACCTTACATGGTGATGGGTACAGTCTTACATGGTGATGGGTACAGTCTTACATGGTGATGGGTACAGTCTTACATGGTGATGGGTATAACCTTGCATAGTGATGGGTACAGTCTTACATGGTGATGGGTACAGTCTTACATAGTGATGGGTACAGTCTTACATGGTGATGGGTACAACCTTACATGGTGATGGGTACAATCTTACATGGTGATGGGTACAGTCTTACATGGTGATGGGTACAGTCTTACATGGTGATGGGTACAGTCTTACATGGTGATGGGTACAGTCTTACATGGTGATGGGTACAGTCTTACATGGTGATGGGTACAATCTTGCATAGTGATGGGTACAGTCTTACATGGTGATGGGTACAACCTTGAATGGGAAGACAGTTGAAGAAAAAACAATATAAGGGATAAGAGTGAGATGAAAGGTGAGAGAAAGAGAGAAGAAGATAAGAATAAGAAGGAAGGTAATAATAAGATGAATGAAAAATTAAGATGAAAATAAATAATAAGACAACAAGACAAGAATAAAGAAAATTAGATGAAGTAAAGTAAGATTTAGAAGGGAAGGAAAAAGGAATAAGAATACGGAAGAAGAATAGAGAAAAGGTACAAATAAGAAAAGTTAGACAAATAGAGAGACCAAAAAATAAGGAAAAGAAACCTACAAGAAGCTAAATAGCGAACGAAAAAAAAACGTTGTAACGAAGAAAAGAGAGACAGAAAGAGAGCGTAGAGGGGCGAGGCTTAAGTCAGGTCACGTTTGTTTAGAAAGTTGGAGCATTTAAGTATGTACTGTGAAAGGGAAAGAGTCAAGAACAACAACAAAGTCGAGGACTAATCGGTTCACGTTGGCCATGTCCCTTTCACAGTAGTCTCCGTGGTGTAGTGGTAAGACACTCGCCTGGCGTTCCGCGAGCGCTTTGTCATGGGTTCGTATCCTGGCCGGGGAGGATTTACTGGGCGCAAATCCTTAACTGTAGCCTCTGTTTAACGCAACAGTAAAGTGTGTACTTGAATGGGAAGTAACAACTCTTAACAACTCTTGTATATATCTAAAAAAAAAAAACATATTTAGATGCCCCAACCTTCTAAACAAACGTGATTTTTGCCTTTGCTCCTGCTACCCTTTCTTTTCTGTCTTTCTTTACTTGATTTTTTTCTCATCGCCATTTGACTTCTTGCAGGTTTCCTTTCTTTATTTTTTATCATTCTATTTTTTTTATTTTCTTATTTATGCCATTTGCCCTATTCTTCTTCCTGGCTAGTTTGGCGTATGTCAATCTAGCATACGCTGCTGATGATATCGTTTTGATGTAGGATTCTGGAGATAGGTTCGGTGTGATATCAACCCCTCAGATCTTTCTCTCTAGTTGACTCTTGTAGGATTTCACCTCCCAGGTGGTACCTTGTGTTCAGCCTCCTGCTCCCTTCACCTACTTTCATTACTTTACACTTTTCTGAGTTAAACTTTAGTTAACTCAGAAACTTTAGTTAACTTTCTGAGTTAAACTTTAGTTAACTCAGGAACATTCCTCAATTTTTATATATAGATATATATATATATATATATATATATATATATATATATATATATATATATATATATATATATATATATATATATATATATATATATAGACCATTCCTCCAGTTTGTCCAGGTCGTCCCGTAGTCTCTGTCTATCTTCATCTGTCTTGATTCTTCTCATAATTTTTGCATCATCAGCAAATATTGAGAAGAATGAGTCTATAAAATCCTCTGTAAGATCGTTTAAATATATCAGAAACAGGATGGGTCCAAGTAAAGAGCCCTGTGGGACTCCGCTGGTGATATCTTGCTACTCTGATGTTCCCCCCCCCCCTTCACAGTTATTCGCCGTTTCTTGTTGCTTACATACTCCCTTATCCACTGGAGCACCTTACCCTTTATTCCTGCCTGTTTCTCTAACTTTTGTAATAGCCTTTTATGGGTTACTTTGTCAAAGGTTTCCTGACAAAGAAAATGCAGTCTGTCCACCCTTCTCTTTCTTCCCTAATTTTTGTCGCCTGATCATAAAATTCTATTAAGCCTGTGAGGCACGATTTACCATCCCTGAACCCATGCTGGTGGTGTGTTACAAAGTTCCTTCTCACTAGATGTTCTACGACCTTTTTCCTCACGATCTTCTCCATCACCTTGCATGGTATAGAAATTAGGGGAAACTGGCCTGTAGTTCAGCGCCTCTTGCCTGTCACCCTTCTTGTATACTGGGGCTACATTAGCTGTCTTCCAACTTTCCGGTAGGTCTCCTGTTTCCAGTGACCTATTATACACCATAGAGGGTGGCACACTTAGTGCTTTTGCACCCTCTTTTAGTGAAAATAGTGAAAATAATTGTGTGGTTATGTTTTGTGCTTGCTGGACGAACATATCGTAAGTTGTGTGTGTGAGAGAGAGAGAGAGAGAGAGAGAGAGAGAGAGAGAGAGAGAGAGAGAGAGAGAGAGAGAGAGAGAGAGAGAGAGAGAGAGAGAGAGAGAGAGAGAGAGAGAGAGAGAAGAGAGAGAGAGAGAGAGAGAGAGAGAGAGAGAGAGAGAGAGAGAGAGAGAGAGAGAGAGAGAGAGAGAGAGAGAGAGAGAGAGAGAGAGAGAGAGAGAGTGAGAGAGCGAGAGAGAAAGAGAGAGACCCGATCTAGTTATTTTATATAAGAGCAAATATAGTTTGTATATAACACAGTTATAACGTACAAATGCGTCTCTGAGAACGGGCGTAGCTTGGAGAAGCAAAGCTCAAGAAAGGGGTTTAAAACCCCTAACCCAACCTGCCCCAGGTCTAGCTACACACACAATTATAATATACATATAAAAGTATTATTTATATTTTAGATAAAGTCTTTTTTTACAAAATATAGTACAAAATTATTGAAAGGTTATGTTGTTTCAGACTCTAATTTGTACTGAATTGAATCTTTTATTTTGTTCAATAAATAAGGTACAATGGAATGACAAAACATAATGTATTATTGATGAAAGGAATAAAGCAGAGGCAAGGAAATCTTATGAAGCTGGGATGAGGGTAAATAATGTGATAAATGGGAAGTAGAAACAAGAAGCGACAGGAAGTAGAATGGTGAATTAAGAGGGAACATGATGTGAGGCAGGAGGCACTCCTTCGTGACCTCGCAGCGTCTGTAAGATGATCTTCTTGGTGATTTACTTCTTGTCGAAGTCCTCGAGGTCCTCAAGAGACACGAAGGACCCCTGGGAACCGTCGGCCTTGGTGCCCTCGGCGGTGGCGGGAACGACGTTGGACTCCACGATGCGGTATCCGTCTTCGTCAGCGACGTACTTGACGAAGTGCTGGTTGCCGTCGGGAGAGGTCCAGCTGCGAAGCAGAAATGATGGAGTGTGAGTGAATGATGTCTATAGCACTTTCATAGCTCTCGCACTCGAAGAGCCAACGCACTCTCAAATACATAACAACTCTCCCATGCTCCAAGTGTCTTCAGGGATGCCGGTGTAAGACCCACCTGTAGGAGCCGCTGACGGAGGAGTCGTCGGCGATGTCGAGGTCGTGGTGGATGTCGTCCAGGTCGAGGAGAGTGTCGGGTCGGGCGGCGACCAGAGCCACCACGCCCAGGAGCACTAATACCTGACGGAGGTGAAGCACAGCATCAACTTGAGAACTGATAATCGCACTAACCTTCTCTAGGGACCCCTTGACCTAACTTGAGGATCGTGGATACGGACGATGGTGACCCAGGGTGACCCAGGGTGACCCAAGGAGACCCTGGGTGACCCAGGGTGACCCAGGGTGACCCAAGGAGACCCAGGGTGACTCAGGGTGACCTAAGACCAGCTGACCTCATACTCTAGATATGCTGGCAAGTGATTAATTCGTTCAATTATGTTTTTATGAGTTAAAAAAAGCTCTAAACTAAGTAGTTATGATTCCTACAGTAAGAGTGAAGGAAGCTCCTCTTACAGTAAGAGTGAAGGAAGCTCCTCTTACAGTATGAGTGAAGGAAGCTCCTCCTACAATAAGAGTGAAGGAAGCTCCTCCTACAGTAAGAGTGGAGGAAGCTGCCCCTACAGTAAGAGTGAAGGAAGCTCATCTTACAGTAAGAGTGAAGGAAGCTCCTCTTACAGTAAGAGTGAAGGAAGCTTCTCCTACAGTAAGAGTGGAGGAAGCTGCCCCTACAGTAAGAGTGAAGGAAGCTCCTCTTACAGTAAGAGTGAAGGAAGCTTCTCCTACAATAAGAGTGAAGGAAGCTCCTCCTACAGTAAGAGTGGAGGAAGCTCCTCTTACAGTAAGAGTGAAGGAAGCTGCCCCTACAGTAAGAGTGAAGGAAGCTTCTCCTTCAGAGAGAGAGACAGACAGAGAGAGAATGAGAGAGACAGACAGAGACAGAGAAACAGAGAGACAGACTCGTCCAAGCAACTTACAGCCAGTTTCATGTTGATCTTTGGAAGTTCCGTGTGGGAATGACTGCGGGCCGCCGGTTAGTCAACGGTCTTATATACCCAGCCACGGTGACCCCGCCCGCCCCCCCCCCTGACCTACATGTTTCGGGCAGGACCACGTGTGACCACCTGACCTTTCCCGAGGTCATCCTTCCCCTTCACTCGGCCCAAGGTCTTGCCTGAAGACCGGGGCATCAACCCGCCGCACGCTTTAAAGGTCTCTGTACTGGTGGCAACTGGTCATTGTATTATCACCAGGTCATTGTAGTGTCACCAGGTCATTGTATTGTCACCGGGTCATTGTATTGTCACCGGGACATTGTATTGTCACTGGGACATTGTATTGTCACCGGGACATTGTATTGTCACTGGGACATTGTATTGTCACCGGGACATTGTATTGTCACTAGTCATTGTATTGTCACCAGTCATCGTGTTGTCACCAGTCATTGCATTGTCACCAGATCATTGTGCTGCCACACAATGACACACAATGTGCTTGGGGTATCATCTGGTGCACGGGATCACTGTTTGGGGTATCAGCTGGGGTACAGGGTAAATTTGGGGGCATGGCGGGTATCAGCTGGGGTACGGGTCATTTTGGGGGGCCTATTAGCTGGGGGTACATGGTTAAAGGGGTTGGGGTACCAGCTGGGGTATGGGGGGGTCAATGTTAAAGATAGGGTGTTGGGGCATCGACTTCGTTCCAAGGTCCATGCTAGAGGTGGGGGCGATGGGCATGAGTGCGGAGTCACAGCGAGAGAGTTGGTAGAGGGGGTATGAGGTCAGGCTGAAGGTCAGTGCTAGGGGCGGAGGTGGAGTCCGCGCTGGTCACCGCCAGGAGGCTTACGGGCTATTCATGCCCGTGCCACCTATGGGTGGCTTAATCTTTTTTCAATCAAATCGCCAGGAGGCGCGGGTTATGGCCGCCTAGAACTCACAGTTCGACTACTCAGAGGTGAGAAATAACCGGACCAGAGACGGCCTGCTCCCTCTTGGGAAACTCTGAGAAAAATGTCTTGGGAGGAATTGAGTGCCAATAGATGAGGCACCACAGGATCAGGCAGGTATATATGCAAGCCAGGGGGGGGGGGATTGGGGGTATTCGAACCCCCGCACCCGTGGACAAGAGCGAGGCAGCTTAACACGTATTCTAACACCCGGCTCATAAAGTGGGTGAATGTATGATTGATGGTCTTTGAAGGCAACTGCTCGAGCACTCTCATCACTACCACTCTGGTCAATGATGATGATTATCATCATCCTCATCATCATCACCATCAATATCAAGCCAGTGCACCAGGCGAGCCAAACGAGGACAACCACATTTCACCATCTTCACTTTTAATGTTCTGAAACAATGTACTCATCAGGCGAGAAGTGGTCCAGGTGAGTTTGGCAGGTATTACGGGTGAGTCTGGCAGGTGTTACGGGTGAGTCTGACACCTGCAACAGGTGAACTTGACAGGTATTAACAAGTGAGTCAGACAGGTGTAAGAGAAGAGACTGACAGATCAAACTGGTGAATGACACGCCTAACAGGTTAGTCAGACAGGTGTAACAGGTGAGGTAGACATGAGAGAAGTGCCGGGAAGGTGAGGGAAGGGAAGGAGATAGAAGGAGGTCATGTGGGTCGAGGTCGCCAGGGTATGGAGCCACCGTCTTGGCAACACTGTCCGCACCTCCCGCTAGTGCTCAGTAACTAGTTCACTGGCAATGCACAATTATTCTCACACGAAGACCAGCCTTTTCGTGTTTATTTGAAAATGTTTCAACATTCTTATGTTATCATTAATACACAACTGTATTAATTATGCAACTGTATTAATACACAACTGTAAAGTCATAATATAAGTTGAATGGCTTCATTAAATTGTGTTAATGATACGTTGTTTGGGCACGCCATGCCTTGACCTTACGTCCGATTCCATAGCCTCCTTCAGCCACTGATGCATATTGTGCAACAAAACACATTTTCTCAAATATAAATTAATATTATAATGTATTCTAATTATACACATAGTTAAATCTAGCTAAGATTAGATCGTGTGTTCGTAAACAAAGCCTCAGTTCTCCAGATTGTGTAAGCAAGAATTTTACTTTCTCATATACACATTAATTGTGAGAAAATCTTGAGGGATAACATTTTTATAAATTGGATTTGGTATCGGTAAGGTGACTTCAAACTCCTTGTAAGATTGGCCGGACATCAGGATGTGTTGTTTTCGCACATCGTGGTGTAGTTGGCAACAACCAGTGTGTCTAGGGTGACCCAGGGTGACATAGGGTGTGGGTTCAATTTCATCCTCCTGCTCTTAACATTGTCTCGTCGATTTATGTCTCAATTGCGATATCATTGAGTATTTTCGTATTAGCATTATGATATAGTTTTGTGTTGGTCCGTGGGTAAGTTAGATTAGATATTTTATTTTTGGTAGTCATTTGTATTTAGAAAATGTGGCTGACGCGTTTAGAGAGGTGCGCATCGAATTTGCTGCCTGTCCCCCAACAACCCGTTCTCACACTAGGCTGTTTAAAGCAGCGGCCGTCCTCCCCAGACGCATTCATCAATTTTAACATACTGTGTATTAAAAATTGGTTTGTTCTCATATATAAATTAATATTATTATACATAAAAATTCGATGTATAGTTAGGCGTACGTTAGGTTAGGTTAGGTGTTTAGGTTTTGTTGGCGATGATTTGTATATGAAGAACGTGGGTGAAGCATTTACAGAATTGTGGTTCGAACAGAGGACGTGAGCAAAGCACTTGTTCTGGAAGTGTTCGGACGTCATAAGTTGTGAGTCGTGTGTAAACTGTTTTTCATTCATAAACAGGGGGTTTGACGGGTGCATGGAATCACTTTTGGGTCTGCTTGGAGGAGGGGCTACCCCAGGCAAGGTTCGTTCACCCGGCGGCCGAACTCAAACACGCATTCATCAATCATAAGGCACTGCTTATTCAAAATGAGTTTTTCTTCAAATATAAGGTGATATTATTTCATACTAGAATTGTGCTGAATATTTAGGGCTAACTTAGGTTAGTTGGTTAGGCTGTGTTGACCGTCACTGATGGATGAAGCATTTCGGCCGGCGGGATTCGAGCAGAGGATGTGAACAAAGCACTGCTGAAGAACAGTGCAGACGTCATCAGTCATCCCGTCCTCCAAACAAAGACCCAAAAGTGATTCCATGCACCCGCCAAACCCCCTGTTTATGAATGAAAAACGGTTTACACACGACTCACAACTGCTTTCGTTCGAAGACTTCCGGAACAAGTGCTTCACTGACGAATTTTGTTCGAACCACAACGCTGTAAATGCTTCACCCACGTACTACAAATATAAATAATGGCCAACAGACCCTAAACACCTAACCTAAACTATGCCTATATATGCCCAAAATGCTAATATATTATAATATTAATTTATATATGAGAAAATTCCCGTTTTGAATGAAAAGCATGTACAAATTGATGAATGTGTCTGTGGGGGTTGACCGCTGGATGTAATGGCCTTGATTCGAGGACGGGTTGACTGGATGAGTATAGGGTGCACAATAAACTAGCCGCTTCCCGCGGCAACAATTAAAATCACTGCTGGAGAAAAGTACAAACGTTATCAGTTGTGAGTCGTATGCGAATTAATATATTTATGTTAGAGGTTAATATTGCGTGTCGCGTGTTTTCTCTCGTTGCTTCACCGCACGTTGCCTGAGGAGTATAATCTACGTTATCAAGTAAGTTACAATCTTCTTTTTGACGGAAAAATTTGTGCACCTTGTAGGCTGTCATATCCGTGTTCGGCCTAAGGATGAGATATTTCCAATAAACCGATTAGACACTTTATAGGGTCTAATTTGGTATTGTAATTTTCACGATGGGATCTTTGACTTAATTCGTTGGGCTCTTGTGAGTTTTAAAACACTATTAGAGGGTGTTAATTTAGGGTCCGTCAGCCTCAGCAGTTTGGCTAAATTCATAAAGTTCTTCATTGCAATGCTATGCACAATGTTGCATGATTTAGCGAATTTAATGGTGAAACAGATCTCGGGGACATTATGTTGTTATAGATATTGCGACGTCTGTCAATCGCCCTTCGTTTGTGCCTGTTGGGCCATTAACTAATTTATTGTTTATGGTAAACTGTGGTGACACATTTTGTGTCGTGCAGTGTGATGTATATGTCCAGGAAATGGAGTTATTTCATTTATAAATTTGTAAGTGAATTTCAACACTTTTTCCAGTTTTTCTGAACTCCTCGACGATAACAATATTATTAAGGTAATAGGGTCGTTGTCCAGGTCCACTTAAGAAAAAATTCAAGTGGTTCCCATTTTGACACATCAAGAAGGTTTCAGGCACGAGCCTCAAACTAGGACCCCACGCCACACCCTGTGATTGTTACAGGAGCCGCGAATCCAGTCTGTGGTGATGGTCTCTCAGGCTGATATGTTGGATATATTTGTATGGTTCAAATGAATCCAGCGTAGGTATAGGTATGGGGTTGAGCTCTGGTTGTCGGTCTGAGTGGCCTCTTCACGGCGCAAAGCCAGGATAGGTTGACATGGAGGAGAAGCTGTTACCCAAGCAGCAGGCCCCCCTCCCCACCTCTCCACGGCGCCGAAAGTCTCCAATGGAAAGGTATATATATTTATGAATGTTTTATTTAAAGTATTTTACCGTAGTTGTTACCACTGTGTGCGACTGTCGGTTGCTTCCACAGATCATCAAAACACAGAAGATTCTAAATGTCAGATGTCCAGGACTCATAACAAAACAAATGACTAGGAAGATGCGCAAGGCCAGTATGGCTATATAACGCATGGAAGGGATACGAGGGCAAGACGGGCTGGAATATAAGGACGAAGTAGAGGAACAATGCCAAATCACTTGGACAATTAAAGGCCAAAAGTCGACTTGCAAGAAGCGAGATCGTTAACTAACACTGAGATGAGAGCAGTTACAACACATTATATATATATATATATATATATATATATATATATATATATATATATATATATATATATATATATATATATATATATAAACTCGGGCCGATGTCAAGATCAAGCAGAAGAGTGATAATAATTAATAAGTCAGAAGTTATTGTATTAGACAACTGGCGGCTAGGAAGGTGGGGTCCAAGAGCTAAAGCTCGACCTTTCAGATTGAAATAAGTCAGTAGACAGTTTCCAGATGTGATGAGGGAGCGCATTAACTGACCGCGGGGGTCTTGACTCAACTTTAAACTCTTTTGACCTCCTTTCTATGACACGGCCCGAGTCATGACCTTTTTCTTGACCTTTCCAGTCCCCTGACCTTCTAACAGCCCTTATTCTTGACCTTTTTCGTTGAACTCTTGGACTGCCCTCCTTCCCCTCCCGCTACAGTCGCCTCTTCCTCCTCCTCCTCCTCCTCTTCCTATTCTTCCTCTTTTTTTCCTCTTACCCCCTCCCATCGTCTTCCTCCTTCTTCTTCCTACTATCGTTCTTCTCTCCCTCTCCTTCCTACTTCCCTCGTCCTCCTCCTTCTCGAGCTTCCATTTATATTTATTCTTTTCCTCCTCGTTATCTAAGTTTTCTCCCTCTTCTCTGTTTTCTTATTTTCTTTATTTTCTTCGTGTGTGTGTGTGAATGCATTCATTCATTTAAGTGCTCACTTGAGCAACACACGTCAGACTAAATACAATTTCTAAATTAAACTGGATAATTAATTTTTCAAGTTCGTCAAAGTGAGTGAGAAAAGACATGTGAAACATAGAGAAGTGTTGCTCTCTGAACAAGAACTGTTGAGAAGTGGAGAGATGGTCAGGACGTGGAGTGTTGACCTCCCACGTCCTGAACCATCTCTAAACAGTCTGTTGTTAATTGTTTAATTAAGTAGCTACACTCTTAGAGACTTGGGATCCCTGATTCTTGGGTGCTAACTACTGCAGGGGTACAAACTGTGAGGATGTCTTCACAGACGCCACGATGGTCTTCATCGTGATGTTATGAAGCGAGTTTCTCCTTCAAATTCACTAAGTTATTAAAATTTGTCCAAATTATAGGTCTGAACTGATACTGATACTCCAGTATCTGAATTAAGATCTAGTTAAACCTGCCACGTGAAGTTTTTAAGTTTATTGCTGATACGAACAAAAAGTAGGTCGTATGACAGGTTCTCCGCCGCCTGTGTTGTGGTCGCTTACGCTTCAAAACCAGCAGGGCTGCCGGCTGACAAAGAAAACGCGTTGATTTCATTTTATGCTAAAATATATCATTCAAAATTTTAGTTGATATGTAAATGATTTATATTTATGAGACATTAAGTTAGTATGAACGTTTGAAGTAAAGTTTACTATAGAAAAAAGTATATTTGTGGATGATCGTTTACTTTGAAGAGAACTCTGTCTCTGAACTATTTTGAAAGTTATTACAAGTTTAAATAAACAAGATACACTCAATAGCGTTGGGTTAATATAATCTCCTTTAGGTAAACACGGAATGAATGTGTACTAACGATGCTCTAGATCTGGTAACTCTGATCTTAAACCGGAAGTTGCGATGTTTACTGCTTATTCAAGATCTAACAACTTGCTATCTGCAATGTTCATGAAGCCTGACTGATGCAAAGCCTCATGTTGGTTACATCTCTGCTTATTTTGTTATTTTTATCATCATTTATTTTATTTCCTCGCAGGTCGAACTAAACTTGTAAGTTTACTATTCACATAACATGTGGGGGCTAGTATCTATTATCCACATAACAGGTGGGGGCTAGTATCTATTATTCACATAACAGGTTGGGGTTAGTATGTACTATCCACATAACAGGTGGGGGCTAGTATCTACTATTCACATAACAGGTTGGGGCTAGTATCTACTGTCTACTCTTGTGCAAGTAGGTCAGACGCAGCATTATAGTGTTTTCTCCTCCCAGAGCGTCGTCGTTGCCAGGCAACCACTCTGCTTTGTCGTGGTTTGTCGTTGAAGGATACAAATGGCTAACGATGAAATTATCATAAATATTCAATAATGTGAAAGTTGCTTGGAATTCGCAGCAAGAGACCGGGACAAGTACACCATTGTACGAGAGAGAGAGAGAGAGAGACGGGGGGAGAGAGAGAGAGAGAGAGAGAGAGAGAGAGAGAGAGAGAGGGGGGGAGAGAGAGAGAGAGAGAGAAAGGGAGAGAGAGAGAGAAAGAGAGAGAGAGAGAGAAAGAGAGAGACGGGGGGGAGAGAGAGAGAGAGATCGTAACTTAGTATTAAATATCTAACAATATGCTGATTAAATAACTGGGTTAACATCATTTGCAATGAGTTCTAACCGAAGTTAAAAAACAGAGAAAGTGAGTGAGAGAGGCAGTGTGAGAGGCATTCCACTATTAGTGATTGTGTGAATGAGAGTTCACAAGAGTGAATGCATGTGTGTGCAAGCACGCAGGTCGTGGGGTCACGCTCTCGCACACGAAGCGCAACAGAGAGCAATAATGCACACCACATTACCTGGTGACTGGTGGCTGATCATTACTGAGGGTGTTCCCAGCGAGGCTGACCCTCGGAGCGGCAGTGTTGCCACCGCCACCAGCACAGCTCCTACCTTCATCGGAAAATTGTTTTCATGTCCTAATTTTTACTCTTTCACTCCACATTAGTGCAGACATTTACCCCTTATTCTATTTTCTGACTCTGACTTTCACTTTTTCTGACTCTCTGGCCAACGAAAGTATTGTTTAATGATTTGTTTTTCCATTGTGTATAAATTTGCTGTATTGTGTTCAACATTGTGTAAGGTACACAAGGCGTCAGCTGTGTACCAGATCCTTCATATGGTCTCTTGACCATATGAAGGGCGAGTCAGCCTAGGTATAAATGCTCGCCGATGGAGTAATGTTTTTGAGAAAGTCACAGCCAGCATGTGAATGATGATAGCTGACCGTCTTGTGTTGTGGTTGCCCACTTCTGATTGTCCACGATGATCAGGTGGGGAACCTTGATAAGTTTGGCCTTGTACATAGCAGTAAGTCTGCCAATATCTTCCCATTGCTGAAGGTTGTGATACAGTAAGCAGCACAGTCAGATTAAGACTGTGCTGTTAAGACTACAGAGGAGTCATCTTGCCCAGTTCTCTACCTAGTCAAGGGGTCGAAGGAAGGACTGAGAAATATCCACCCAAGTGAGGGCTGTTATCTCAAGATGCGAGCCTGAACTTGGGCTTTATGTAAAGTTTTACAATCACTGCTGTCGAGCAGATACAAGATGCACTTTAACGTTGTCGGGTTCCTGACTGCTGCCCGCTGGGTTCGGCACCTGGCTTCTCTTGGTCTATGAAGAAACGAACTTCACCCCAAAAATATCAACGTCATCACTGAATGTTTTACCATTTATGTTTCTCCCAGTTGCAATATCATGGTGTCTAGTTATCATCACTTGCGTTTTATCACCTCCTAATGATACCTGCCATCGCCTGGCCCAGATATATGCACAGAAATGTCAGAGTTCAATCAAGAGCATTGACCAGAGCTTCAGTGATGAGAAGTAGTAGATGGTTGAAGTAGACATTCCATAACAAGGGACCAAGGTATCAGTGTACTACCCCTGTGGTACACTGATACCTGTTCAGCTTTCAGAATCTGTTCCATTAATTTCCGTTTGTTATACAAACCCAGAGATACAAAGCGTTTGAAGCGTAGTCAGTAATTCATTATGTACTCGGATAAAGGTGTCTCTAATACTCAGGGGGGCTACAATCCAGCTCAAATGGATGAATCCAGTGATGAATGCCACATAGTGGAGAGATTCAAGAAGAGAACGGGAGTAGAACAAGTTTTTCTGAACAAATTCTGGCGACCACACAGTAACAGATGATAAAAAAAAAAAATTATTTAATAGTTTAATGATTCAAGAATTTTGTCAGTAATTAGCAGCATTGACACATCTCAGTAGTTGCTGACCATCAAACTGTTTACCCTTTTTTTCTTGTGGGCTGAAGCTTCATGTCTTCCACGGAGGTGATAGAGGGTCCTACCGTCCTAGAGGACGAGTGAGAGGGTCCTCTGTGATGAAGGAGGTCCACACACGGGTCTCGGTCTTCACTCGTCTGACGCCATTGCCTTCCATACCGCTCTCCTTCTCTCACTAAGAACCAGTAACATAATTCATATGTGTGTTCACAGTGTACATGTAAACCGGACACTAATATGTTGGGTGTTTACATAAAAATCCACATGATTCATAAATATTTATTATAATAAGAATTGTTCACACACAAACAAGACCTCAAGAATCTTAACGCTTCAGTGAGTCGGAGCAAGAGAGAAACATGAAGAACTGAGTAAAGAGCTTTGGAAAAAATAAAACGCCATTAGTTGTCGTCTTGTGTCGTTGACTAGCCAACGGTTCCAGCTATCGGCTGTCACTCTCAGTATCTATTTGTCGTCATCGTCGTCCTCGTCCTCGTCGCCGTCGAGGTCGCCCTGTTCGCCGTCAGCGAGGACGCCGTTGGCTGAGGGCACGGCGTTGGACTCGAGGACTCGGTAGCCCTTGTCGTCAGCGATGTACTTGACCACGAACTCGATTCCTTCGGGGCTCTCCCACCTGCGGCCACAACACATACATATAACAATTCACATATTTGTTTTAAGTTCGCTCTAAAGACTTCACTGTGAGCAGGTTTAAGTATTATCTTCCGTGTTGCTCAACGATATAATTTTAAGAATTACTTCTTGATAAGGAAAGTATAATACTGGGCCTGACAGATGCTTAGATGTTGTTAAGAATAAGGAAAACTAATAAGTTGCTTTGATCATCATGGAATACAGTAAGCATTATAATGATATGTTTTTTATGGGTGTGGTATGGTTGTATTGTGCTATTATCTGGCTCCTGTGGTGTTGTTGGTGGCTCTTGTGTTGGTGATGGTTGTGGTGGTGGTGGCTGTTGTGTTGGTGACGGTGGTGGAGGCTGTTATGTTAGTTGTGGTGGAGGCTGCTGTGTTGGTGGAGACTGTTGTGGGTTGAGAAGACTTACTTGTACTCGCCGGTGACGGAGCGGCCGGCCTGGCCCTCCTGCTCGTGCTCAGCGTCCTCACCCTCGAAGTCCAAGATCTCGCTGGGTCGAGCAGCGGCCAGGGCGACCAGGCCCAGGGCGATCAGCAGCTGCAGGAGGAAGGAGACTGTTATTCCTGTTGCAGGGGGAGAACTGGTACTTTTTAGAGTTTGTGGGACATCTAATTGAATCTAGTGTTGAGTTTTAAGGCCAATCAACTTCTGGAAGGTCATTAAGGCCTATCAACCTCTAGAGGATTATTAAGGCCTATCAACCTCTGGAAGGTCATAATGGCCTATCAACCTCTTGAGGGTTATTAAGGTTATTTTTTGTACTTTTATCGAGTGTGTTTAAAAACAGAGTTGCAAGATTGCAATGAACTATCGTGAGAGATAATGTTATCAGTTTACGATTAATCTTTGCAACAGATATGTTGCCAAGAAGCGCATTTGCTAGCTAAAGATGGAAACAAAGTGACCAAATGGATCAGAGATATTAGGAATAATGTAACACGGGTTCGAGTTCCTCTCTCTACTTATCTACCTTCTACTCCCTCTACCCGTATTCTTACTTTTTATTCTCTACCAAGGGACTCCAAAACTTTTACCAAAGCCAACTCCACGCCACGTGGTCCTAAGACGATTGACCGACTTAGGATTCTACACCCAGTATGACGTGACCTAAGCTCTGAGCAAAACCCTAGAGTCGCCTCTACGCTGCCACCACCAGACCAGTAACACAAGAGCAATGATCGAGGTCTGGATCGATCACGCTAATTAATCAACCTAGGGGCTTGATCCCCACTATATACGATGACCTTGAGGGTGGAATAAATTACACGGTAATGATAATTCCGATTCGATGTTAGAATCGGCGCCCAATCCAACTCTGCCTCGTGTGGACCACGTGACCAGGACAAGTATACACATAACCAAATGGAAACAATAAAATGCAAATTAATAACAAATTTAATTTATTAAAAGAAAACTAAAACAAAATCTAAATATGTTCACTCCCTATCACTTTAACACTCCCTACTTGACCTGAGTGGCAAATGAGAAGACTATCCCTATAATTAACAATAGCAACTATACCTTGGGCGACCACAGCTCTAGATGTTGGGCTGGTCTTGGGGAGAGGTAAGATGGTTGGCCTCTTATCCCAGCTGCTCCCGTTTCCACCCTGATTTGTCCTCGTCTGGCCTAGCCCAGACTAGAACATTGTATCCTTCCGCCTAGTCAAAGTTTTACCAAGTTACTAGCCAGGTTTAAGTTATAACAATTAACCTCTGTTGTACTTAATTGATCCAGACTGGTTGAATTATTTTACTGAATTAAATTACAAACATCTAACGGCAGAGCTGTTCCCGATCCCCAAAATGGTTAATTGAACTTTGAGAAATACTAGACATGTCAACCCTGCTGACCTATGACCGCCGGTCACTCCGCCTTACAAGTTAGATCTGATTCGTGACGTCACTGATGGTGACTTAAACTCAATAATTAGAATACTCTTGATATTGTATCCAGTACTATTATACAATACAATTTTAATGCAAAATGAATAAAGGCTAATTTCTCTAAATTACTGAATACTATAGGATGATTCATTATACGCAGCTATGAACAAAGCGTCGGTTATTTCCACCGCGAATTCCCCTGGGGGTCAAGTCACCATGCGGGCTCAGCTTCCCATTCTCTTTTGTCGATAAACCACTCTGGATAATTCTTACAACAGCCTAGTCTGTTACAATAATGTTTCAATGCGAGGACTGCGAACAGCTGGAAGGTTAGGTTGCAAGCTGATTATAAGTTTAGAGGCGGAACCCAAGAACCGCAGCTCACCTCCCCCACCTCCCCCAGGGATTAGTACTTGTTTAAGGTACTAAGGGTACCATTAAGGTACTTACTAGAACCTTCATGGTGGGAGGAGAAAGACAGAGGACTTGGTAGTAGAAGTTCTGAAAGAACAATGTCTCGCTCTCTCTCTCTTGCTCCACTCTTATACCCTCCCGGTGCGGCATTGACCTTCGGTCCTATAGGCACATCGGAAGGTCAAAGGTTAAGGCCAGAACCATTGGTGAACCTCAGGGGATGAAGAACAACCTCGCTGTCATCTCTCCCCTTCACTCTGACCTCGCGAAGGTACTCGCAAATTGTTTTTTTATGAAATGAAATATATTCTTTTGGTGGCGTTGCCTCGCCCTGCCCGCCCCGCGCCCTGCCCGCCCCGCGCCCTGCCCTGCCCGCCCCGCGTCCTGCCCGCCCCGCGCCCTGCCCGCCCCGCCCGCCCCGCGCCCTGCCCGCCCCGCGTCCTGCCCGCCCCGCGCCCTGCCCGCCCCGCGCCCTGCCCGCCCCGCGTCCTGCCCTGCCCGCCCCGCGCCCTGCCCGCCCCGCGTCCTGCCCGCCCCGCGCCCTGCCCGCCCCGCGTCCTGCCCGCCCCGCGTCCTGCCCGCCCCGCGTCCTGCCCGCCCCGCGCCCTGCTCGCCCCGCGCCCCGCCCGCCCCGCGCCCTGCCCGCCTCACGCCCTGCCCGTGCCCTTCTCCCCGGTGCCAGACCTGCCTAATGTTAGCAAGCCCAGTCCGCCCCCTCCCCTCTCCTCAACCAGACCCGCGCAATAATGTTACCATGCCCCGGCCCACACGCTATCACTTTCTTGGCATTTAGTATTTTGGGTCGTTACTGCTACCCAGGAGACTATCTTAGTGTACCCTAGATAGTACCTGAGGTTCTTAGTGTACCTCGGAGACTACCTTAGGACCTTTGTGTACTCTGGAGGTCATACTGGTACCTTAGTGTATTCTGGATGTCATTCTGATCCTGTTAACAAGATCCTGTTAATGTCCGGTCCTGTTAACACAGTTCTGTTAACAGGTCGGAACGACTGAAACAGTCTTATGAACAGGCAGTGACAGTTGAAGCAGTCCTGTTAGCATGTCGTGACGTGCTATGAGATCAGTGGGGGGGGGGGGAACAGTCTATACAGAAAGTTTAGTCCAATCATAAATTTTCTGGATGTCGTGAATATTTGAAAACGGTTGAAACAGGACACCAAAGACTACACAAAGATGGCTGCGGTCCAGACTCGGCCCCGTTCAGTTGGGGCGAAAAAATGTAGCAAATTCTACAGTAATAAGAAATGCTGTCCGCTGTGGCGCAGCGGTGCACTCACTCGCTCTGCGATTCGCTAGCGATTTGGCCTAGGTTCGTGTTTCCTGGGTTCGAGATTGACTTAGGTACGAATCCCTGTATTCCCTCTGTTGTGATTGGGTTACGTGGTTGGTAAGCGAGTGCCGGGTCGTGTTCCAGGGGAAAACTAGTGGGTATAAGACTTATTTATACCATGAGCTGTGGGGATGGGAAATTGCTTTCAGTCTGCTAACATGAGTCAGAAGTCGTCTAGCTGCTTCTGTCAGTCCTGTGAAGTTCACCTGTCCATCCTGTATAGTATTCTACCTTAGTTTACACGTAAAGAACTGCTAATCAGACCCTGAGGGAATTATCCACATTACTAAACTTGATAATTGATTTATTTGGAGCAATCAGCCGCTGGTAGATATGGTAATAAGGTAAGGTAATTATCAGGAGAAAGCACTAAGGCATTACGACTATTCAGCACTTGGAAGAGATAAGGGGATAAGTATTTAGGATAGGACGGAGGGAAGGAATAGCGTCCAACCACTTATTCGGATGGGGGATTGAACACCGACCTGCAAGAAGTGAGACTGTCGCCCTACCGTCCAATCCAAGTGATTGATCGCTTGACTTCAAGGAAAATAAAGTAGTTAATTAACTGTATAAATCTCTGGTGTGCCCTCACTTTGATAATTGTATGCAAGCACTGAGACCTCGTCTTGAGAAAGACGGAGCTGTTTTGGAGAAAGTTCAACACAGAGCAATAAAAATCATTTGAGAACTAAGTAGATTCTCACTAGTAACGGTTGAGGGCCACAGGACTAACACCACTACTAACCAGGCATCACAGGACGGAGCTCATTGAAACCTTTCAAAAAATACTAAACAATTTGATGGATGTTGATCAAAAAACTTCCTGAAAGATCAGATGTAACACAAGAAGCAACTGTTGCAAGCTCAACAAGCCACAATGTAGGACTGAAAATAGTAAATGTTTTTTCACCCACGGGGTTATAAACTCATGGAACCGCCTACCCGCCGATGCCGTAAATGCCAAAACTGCTGAATATGAAAATCCAGCTCGATAAAATTGTCAGGACAAATAGGAGGGAACTTTGACAAGCCGCTCTTGTCTGTTGTTGTTTTTAGAGTCAGCTACTCGGAACATAATAGCAACATAATAGCTGAAAGTAACAGCAAAGTTAGAGTGGAAGAACAGTAGAGGATGACACGATAGAGGACGTTGCTGCTGGATGTGATCAAGGCGGCCTCGCAAACCCAAACTCCTAATTAACTAATAATGGAGGACTACAACCACGAAATACTAGACTGGGTAAATCATGACAATTTCTTGATTTGGCGCCGGACGCCTTTCTCACACAGCATGTGACGGAGCCCACTTGAGGTAACGACATTATACATCTTGTGCTAACATCAGAAGAGGACATGATCGAATATATGTAGGTAGGAGGGGGAAGGGCTCACTCCGTCGTGTGATCACAACATTCTATGATGAATTACAAGTACAGAAACCGATGGTAAGGTCCATGATGATGACTTTCTTGATTACCATCGAGCTGACTATCAAGGAATGAGAGAAGACACCTCCACGAGGGAGCTAATAGGTCATCATGGCATGTAAGCATCATCAAAAGATTTAAAAAAAAAAAAAGTCATCACTGAATTTGTTCAAATATATGTGCCAATAAGAAGAAAGAAAAGAAAGGGAATAGATGGATGACACAGGTAGTAAAAATCATCAAATTTGCAGATGACACTAAGATTTATGCACGAAGAAATCACATTAACCTCGTGTATCAGTGAGAAAAATCAGGAGCATTGAGGAGGATTTGAACTTGGGAGTACCCAGAGCATAGGTTCGAAGGCTGCTCATGGCTTGGTAAAGTAGGTATTGAAAATTATGTTGAGGCCTTACAAATAGTCGGAAGATGTGGCAAATGCTTTTTAATATCCGTAAATGCAAAACCTTGCATGTGGGGTATGACAACCCACGTCACGACTTGACCCGTCCTCCTAAGGTTCCCAAACGTCAAGAAACTGTCATACTAAAGTGTCCCCTTATCCTAACCTACCAGAGGACCCAAAACAGAAAACGGGACAGAGTGTGTCAATTTTGCGAGCCGCTGCTGTTTTCTAGTACGACGATTTTTGGCCTTAGTCAACGGGACGTGACGGCTGAAACAGTCTAATAACGGGACGTGACGGGTAAAACAGTCCAATAACGGGACGTGACGGCTGAAACAGTCCAATAACGGGACGTGACGGCTGAAACAAAGTCTAGCCAAAGTCTATCAAGGTGATACGGACTGTTCAGAGTCATCAACGGATTGGTGTTAATCAAAAAAATAAAGAGTACCATAAACTGAACACGCAATACAGAGGTCAAAATATATATAAAAAAATCAGAGATTACATAATAAATAATTTATTTACAAAGCAGTAAATAATAATAATGTACAGTATGTATTTTGGAAAGCCAGCAAGCAAGGTAATATTTTTTTTTTTCCTGTAGCGGGTTGAAAAATTATAATTTTGTTTTCCAATAATTTGTTTCCATTGATTGGCGCGACTCATTATCGTCTTTACGTTCTCGACTGTCTATTTGTCATCGTCGTCCTCGTCGTCCTCGTCGCCCTCGAGGTCGGCCTGTTCGCCGTCAGCGAGGACGCCGTTGGCTGAGGGCACGGCGTTGGACTCGAGGACTCGGTAGCCCTTGTCGTCAGCGATGTACTTGACCACGAACTCGATTCCTTCGGGGCTCTCCCACCTGCGGCCACAACATAAGGGAAGGGAATTAGGAGGCGAAGGACAGAAACGCTAAGCTGATATGATTATGTAGAATTTGGATGGGATATGGGGACAAGGAGCTGGGATATGAGGACAAGGAGCTGGGATATGAGGACAAGGAGCTGGGATATGAGGACAAGGAGCTGGGATATGAGGACAAGGAGCTGGGATATGAGGACAAGGAGCTGGGACATATGGACAAGGAGCTTAGATATGAAGAACAAGGAGCTGGGATATGAAGAACAAGGAGCTGGGATATGAAGAACAAGGAACTAGGATATGAAGAACAAGTAGCTGAGATATGAGAACAAGGAGCTAGGATATGAGAAAAAGGAACTGAGATATTGATTTAACTGCAGAAAAGCAATTACCATAAATACATGAAATATATCAGTACTTCGTAAGAAAGGCCTTGAGGAACACCCATTCATTTTGTTGGAGGGATAACTTACTTGTACTCGCCGGTGACGGAGTGTCCGGCGGCGCCCTCCTGCTCGTGCTCAGCGTCGTCACCCTCGAAGTCAAAGATCTGGTTGGGTCGAGCGGCGGCCAGGGCGACCAGGCCCAGGGCGATCAGCAGCTGCAGGAGGAGAGGGAGAGAGAGAGAACGTTACACATTTTGCACGAGGAAACCGCTGTAGTAGTCGAAGGGAACTGTCGAAGTGTGGGTGATGGTGTCGAAGTGTGGGTGATGGTGTCGAGGTGTTGGTGATGGTGTCGAAGTGTGGGTGATGGTGTCGAAGTGTGGGTGATGGTGTCGAGGTGTTGGTGATGGTGTCGAGGTGTTGGTGATGGTGTCGAGGTGTTGGTGAAGCTGGTAAAGGTGTTTGTGGGAGAATGGAATTTCACGACTGTTTTAAGCTATGCAAATGAGCGTATAAAAAAAGTAGAACGTGGAATCTCCGGGAATGCACAATCATCAGTGCACAATCATCAATGCACAATCTTCAGTGCACAATCATCAGTGCACTGTCCTGAGTACTGTGCAAGCCAAGGGCATTGCAAGGGCCGTTGCAATACCCAGTCCCCGATTAATTAGAGCAGATTATAGAAGTCATCAGTAAAAATTCAGCATTCCACGCCGTCTTAACTAATTTCAGATTTTGGCCTCAGTAGCTTGTGTAAATAATAATTGTGCTATTGATTCGAGCAAGTTATGGCTGTGTGTGCATTGATGTTTTGCGTGCATTTAATGTGTGTTGCGTGCATTTAATGTGTGTTGCGTGTTATCTCGAGTGTTCTATTGGATCTCCACTGTGTGTCTCTTTCATACAGCAAGTGTCGATTGCAGACACTGTCAGTGTGTTCAGTGAGTGTTCAGTTAATTCACATTGGTCGGTGCAAGTGAGTGGAAACTCTGTATCTGTTCACACCAGAGCAGTGGGACGATCCCTGTTGCGTCGCCACTCTCACAATTAACGTAGAGTCAAGTTCCCTGTCTATTAGTAAGTCTATTAAGTCAACCTATTATTGATAACGTAGACTCTGAAGGAGTTGAAGTGATGGTGAAGGGACACTGTCCCAGGAGCCTGAGGATGGTCAACTCACCATAGCCTTCATGGTGAGGGGATGTGAGGTTCAGAGTGTGTCTGGAGGAGTTGTGAGTGACGCTAGACGCCTCATCGCGGGTTTATACCATCTGCTGCAGGAGGCTGACCTTCACCTGGGGCGGCCAGGGCGGGGCGGAGCCATGGTACACACACCTGTGTATGTGGCCCTCCCCTCCTCCCCTCCATGTGGCCCTCCCCTCCTCCCCTCCATGTGGCCCTCCCCTCCTCCCTTCATTATTGCCCTTCTTCCTCCCCTCCTTCCTTCCTTCCCTCCTCCCCCTCCTTCCCTCCTCCCCCTCCTTCCCTCCTCCCTCTCCTTATTGCCCTGCCTTATTTCCCACCTTGTGTCCTTCCGTTCTGCCTCTTACGTCTCCTCATACCCCTACCCTAATGATCCCCTCCCCCTGCCCCATGCCCCTACTCTCCCCTCACCTGCCAGCGATCAACAAGCCAGGGACCACGCCCTCCAATGTGGTCCTGACCCAATTTCTACTAAAAGTTCCCTTTCTTTCTTTATTGCACTTCTGATACTTCCCTCCCACTCGCTTTAACCCATTTATCCTTTCCTTTCTATTTCCTGTTCTTTAGCCCCTTCAGCTCCTTTCATTCTAACTTTTGAATGATAAGTTTTGGCTCTTTCTCCTTTTCTTAATCATTCCTATGTCTTGCTTCTCTCTTTCTCTCTCTCTCTCTACCTTGACATTATTTTTTGTGGGGCTGCATGGAAGGTTGTAGAGTAACGACCCATGGCGCCACCTTCACTGTGTGTGTGGGGGTTGACGCTATCTACACTGTGTGTGTGGGCGTCGACGCCATCTACACTGTGTGTGGGCGTCGACGCCATCTACACTGTGTGTGTGGGGGTTGACGCTATCTACACTGTGTGTGTGGGGGTTGACGCTATCTACACTGTGTGTGTGGGGGTTGACGCTATCTACACTGTGTGTGTGGGGGTTGACGCTATCTACACTGTGTGTGTGGGCGTCGACGCCATCTACACTGTGTGTGGGCGTCGACGCCATCTACACTGTGTGTGTGGGCGTCGACGCCATCTACACTGTGTGTGTGGGCGTCGACGCCATCTACACTGTGTGTGTGGGCGTCGACGCCACCTACACTGTGTGTGTGGACGTCGACGCCATCTCTGATGATTAGGCTAAGTTTACCCTTATCCCCATAGGAAACAAAGGCGTTGTTGGGTCGACGACGAGGGCGGCCCTGTGTGGTCTTATTGAGTCTCTGTCGGCGATACGTCAGGCGCAGAGATACACATACAGGGGGCGCAGAGATACACATACAGAGGGAAACTACAAAAGAGAAATCTACAGGACAAGGGACCAAATGGGAGAACAGTCCTAAAACAGTTTCCATCATACTTGTGGTCTTCTATAGCTGGCCTATATGCCATGAACCTGATACAGATATGACCATGACAGTTGAGAAGAGCTGCTTGGGGTACTTTATTCTCCTTTAACTTGAATTGTAATAAAAAAAAAAAAACTAGGGTACTTCCAGAATTCTGGAAAAGGGTAATTTCAGTTCCAGGGACGGAATGTTTTAAATGATTTTCTGGTGTTATAAGCTCTGTATCAGGTGGAGACGTCCCTGCCAGGTGACATCCCGCGGTCCCTGAACACTGCGGCCGTTGTCCCACTTCACACGGGAGACAGTAAAGCTCTGACATCACACGGGAGGCAGTAAAGCTCTGACATCACACGGGAGGCAGTAAAGCTCTGACATCACACGGGAGGCAGTAAAGCTCTGACATCACACGGGAGGCAGTAAAGCTCTGACATCACACGGGAGGCAGTAAAGCTCTGACATCACACGGGAGGCAGTAAAGCTCTGACATCACACGGGAGGCAGTAAAGCTCTGACATCACACGGGAGGCAGTAAAGCTCTGACATCACACGGGAGGCAGTAAAGCTCTGACATCACACGGGAGGCAGTAAAGCTCTGACATCACCCAACAAACCGATCGCATTGACATCATAATTCATTATGGTTTTTGGGAGTGTTAAAACGCCCAGTTGTTAGTTACATGGAAAAGAACGATTTAAACAATTGTTATGAACCTCGATCACCTCTTAAGATGAATTAGTTCCTAATATGAGAGTTATTCCTCGTTCGGGCATACTTTTAGCTGATGCTGGTGGTATAGTAGAGTTTACAGGGTAAACTAGAGTTTGACTAGAGAAGGGGGAGGCCTAGTTTAAGTCATTGTGTGGCATAGAGCAACATCTTGACTTAAAAGAAAGATGGCGAGGAGACGGTTTGGAGGAGGTGAGAGAGATGGACGATGTTACCATTAGCCAACGAGAGAGAGAGAGAGAGAGAGAGAGAGAGAGAGAGAGAGAGAGAGAGAGAGAGAGAGAGAGAGAGAGAGGCAGGACCTTGATGTGGCAGGACCTTGATGTGGCAGGACCTTGATGTGGCAGGAGCTGGGAGTCGTGGATTGGTAGCAACATCACCTGTGTGGCGAGCGTGTCCTCTCAAGGAGAAGACACGCTGTTCGTCGCCCTTCAAGATTTTAGGTGAAAGTTCTATACTGACATTGACGAGAACAGGCCGAGGAATAGTGGTAAGAAGGAGCCGTAGAGAAGAAGGGAGCAGTAGTGGTGTCAACCTCTATTCGTGTACCCTGGAACAGTGTTCTGGAGCCAAGAAGGGTGAAGGGGTCTGGTAGTATCGTAGAGCCTGCAAGAGGTTGCGGTGTTGGTGCAACAAGTGGACAAAGTGTGAGGGTACCAGGACTTACCTGGGTAAGGGGGACCTGCTGCCTGGGTAACAGCTTCTCCTCCGAATCAACCTACCCTGGCTTTGCGCCCTGGTGAGGCCACTCCAGACCGACACCCAGAGCGCAACTCCATAGTCTCCTGAGACTGATGGATGCCTACTGCTATTACCAGGACATGAGTGCCGGTGTTGATCCCACCCACACACACACACACACACACACACACACACACACACACACACACACACACACACACACAAGTCAGGAAAGAGAATCGGAGACGGCCAAAGGACTGGAAGATGGTCAAAGAGGGAGAGCAGACCCCCTGGCGCCATTTTAATTTTGCAGACGACACGTCGCCGCCCTCACGGTGAGAGAACTGTGTGTACGAACCGGGAGGCGGGATCAGTAGACGACAAGCCAGACGAGATGCGACAAGGGATGCTGTGAGCGTCACCGGTCAACAAGAACCATCCTCATTAGTGAATAAAATCACCCCAATATCCATCATGATTATTTTTATTTAGTTGTCTGAGCTAATCCTGCATTTTTATTATGAATGGAGGTGAAATATTTTATTGTTTTTCACTGCTGTACACATTATTGGAGATTACCACATCTGCAGCCAGCCACATTAAGCAAGAGTGTGGAGAAGAAATCTTGGTGATCTGAGGAGTAACTGGTCGGCACAAGACATCAAGAGTTGTTTTTTTTTTTGAGATATACAAGAGTTGTTACATTCTTGTACAGCCACTAGTACGCGTAGCGTTTCGGGCAAGTCCTTAATCCTATGGTCCCTGGAATACGATCCCCTGCCGCGAAGAATCGTTTTTTCATCCAAGTACACATTTTACTGTTGCGTTAAACAGAGGCTACAGTTAAGGAATTGCGCCCAGTAAATCCTCCCCGGCCAGGATACGAACCCATGACATAGTGCTCGCGGAACGCCAGGCGAGTGTCTTACCACTACACCACGGAGACTGTCAAGTTGACGGTGTCAAGACAGTGGCTATTTACCTGGGTTGTGTTTATCTTTCACGTTATTGTACTAAGGACATATTATACTGTGTTGTCAAGTTGAAAGATATTTTATCACGGTTAAATTTGATAATGTAATTCTACCAGCTTGTGGTGAATGCCACAGGAGACTCTCTGGATGTTTCTTATAATGTGTCACTAGAATATAACTCTCCGCAGCTTTACGTACATGCTTGTATTGCTAAGTGATTATAACAAACAAGTACACATTTTTACAGAGCAGGAGACTACCCTGACTTTTGAGAAAGTAAGTAATTACTTGAGGAAGCGCATAGCCAACCCATCCTCCTAATACAACGTCGCATGTTGACGTATACTTTATCTAAGACCAAAAAATCGTCGTACTAGAAATTGGTAGCGGCTCACGAAATTGACACATTGTCCCGTTTTCTGTTTTGGGTCCTCTGGTAGGTTAGGATAAGAACACTTTAATGCGATAGTTACTTGACGTTGGGAAACCTTATGTTTTTATATCATTCTTCTAATTGTTCGCTGAATATCAGTCATTTTATTCCTAGAATGTAAGTTTGATTTAGGCTGTAATACACCTGTTAAGTCCAGCTAGCTTTGAGATAACTTGTATCAGTTGTTACAGATTAGGTATCTGAGTCTATAATGATATGCTGTGATTGTGACTATATTATGTAATTAATGTACTGTACTTTATATGTAAACTCTATGTAAACATTCAACCATTTATAAATTAATTTAAGTTCTTTGATATGATTTAGTGTCCAGTTTATCAACAACTAACATTCTCGGAGACTTCACTGCTGCCTCAAGTAATGATCTACACCCAGAACTTGTGAACAATATTCACTCGGTCACCTTCACTCACTCGGTCACCTTCACTCACTCGGTCACCTTCACTCACTCGGTCACCTTCACTCACTCGGTCACCTTCACTCACTCGGTCACCTTCACTCACTCAGTCACCTTCACTCACTCGGCCACCTTCACTCAGTCACCTTCACTCACTCAGTCACCTTCACTCGTCGTGTGTCATCCTTCATGGCTCATTATGTGCAGCACAACTACTCAGCTCTATATATTAAAGCTGTTATGTTGATTTGTTGCTATTATGCAACAAAACAACTCGCTGGTTCAAGCTTTTTTGATGCAGGAATCCAGTGTTTTTGTAGAATTTCTGCCTTTGTTCCTGTTAGTTTTAATCTTTTGTATGTGTAATGGTGATAGCACTAGAGCCTGGACGGCTAGGACGATTTTGTTGACAATTTTACCATTTACGTCCCTAAATATATGTTAGTTATTAGTGATTTTGACAATAAAGGCAGGGAAGTTCTAAT